CTGAACCTGATCAACACATCGCTCTTCTCCTTCTCGGTGACAATCTGCGCGAAACACTGACCGTCCTCTTCCTCGGCATCGCTGTCGGGCTCTTCGTCGTCTTCATCTTCTTCCTCAGCAACCAACTGGACAGTAGCATACTTCTTTTGCAAACTCTTGTTGCGAATATCGTACTTTGGCCTGACCTCGGCTCCATTGGACAACCGAGCAAAAGAGAGGATTGGAAGCGCCTCCAAGGCGTAATCCTTGGAATCCGCGAAGCTGCTCTCCAACTCCATGGCATTTTGGTACAACTTTGGCACACCATTCTCGTCGTACCTGAACTTTTCGTCAAATCTATCCTTAAGAATGTTCAACAAGTTGTCCTTGGAAATGTACTTCTGGATCAACTGATCGAAAAGCTCCCAGGCCTTGAACTCCAAGGTCGATAAAGCCTTGTCATTGACATGAGCCTCGGTACCGAGGCCAAAATCGTAGCCCTCAGCAGCCTGGTATTTGCTCAAGGAATTGTTCTTCAACTCCGTGAAACTGTCTAAGATGCGATTCCACGTGTTCTTGTCTGGCTTGGCTATCTCATCAAGAATCGTTGTAGACAAGCCATTGTTGATTTTCTTCAAGGACTTGCTAATGATGTTGTTCAATTCGACAACCTGCTGCTTGGCAACAAGTGTGTTGACGTTTTCTTTAAGTGACTTCACCTGGCTTTCGATTGGTAAAGACCCGCCAAGAGAAAGAAGCGTGAGGCTGGTGACAAAACTTGCGATTGATGCAGCAGTGAGAGTTGCAACCTTCTCTTGGAATGAGCTGAACTTGGATGATTTTTTCTTCAAAGAAGAGCCCAAGTCCTTGATGGTGCTATTGCTAAGGTGGTCTGCGTAAACACCAAAGACCTCGCCAAGTCTGTCATTGACCTTGTTGGTCAATGCAACTCTCTTTTGTTCAAACACCAGCTTGTTGTATTTGGACGCCTGGGAGTCGTACTCTTCTAAAATGTCCTCATTAATGTCCTTCATGACCTTGCCAATGTCGTCGTAGCTGATAGCGGAGCCACTAGACACCGCCTCGCGAGCGTCAGTTTCAAAAGCCTTGAATTTCTCTTCAAACTCCTCCAAGCACAGAGATGCAATTTCGTCACACTTGAACTTAGCAACCAAAATCTGCTGTGTCGGAAGGTCCAAGTCCTTGTTGTTGTCGATTTGGTCCCAGCAGCTCTGCGCATACATGGTCCAGCCCTCAATAGGGATATCGTGGTGGTAGAATGGCTTAAACAAGAAGCCTGGGTCGCTCTTGTCCACAAATCTGTTACCCAAAAGCTTGACATCGCTCTTAAATTTGTCGAGCTGCAAAACCTTGTGGCTGAGTGTGTGAAATGCTAAGTCGAAAAAGTCAGAGAACTCGAGGTGGGCCACATCTGCGGGCTTATTCAAGTTGTCCCAGATCTTCAACAAGTCCTGCTCAATTGTTCTTGCAAGGGACTCCACAGGTGTAACACCAAGATGGTCTCTAATAACAAACAAAAGAAGCACTTTGTGGTCGTTGTTCCGCAACTTGGCCTTGCCGAAAAGCGACAAGTTCACCTCAAACACTGTCTTGAGCAAACCCATATTGGCGCCCTGGTAGAGACCGACCTGGGTTTCCCAGAGGTTCACAATAAGCACTTCACTTGTAGACATGGCGAAAAGAGCAGCTTTTCTTTCAAAGTCCTGGTCCTCACCTCTTTCTCTTCCGTCGGTACCTTCAACATCCATCACCAAGACATTGTCGGGGGCAGTTGATTTGGCCGAATGTGTCACACCAGGACTATGAGCCAACCAGATACCTTTAGTAGTTTGCTGTCTGTTCACTTCGTCCATGACATCGAAATTGGTGTTGAAGAGGTGGTTGAGCAATGTAGACTTACCGGTCGATTGCGAGCCAAAAACGGATATGATACGGTAGTCACCCAGACCCAGGCGGTCAGGAGAGCTGCTGATGTAGTCTAGAATGGCGCTGTTGAACTGCTTATTCTCATCAATCACCTGGATAGCATCTTGGATATTGTCCACGGGAACAAATGACGAACTCAGGGAAGATCTTGAGTTTTTGTCTGTGGCCTCGGTCAGCTCAATATGAGCATTTTCAAGGGTTTCAGCCGGATCGGCAGCGGTTGTTTCGGGAATATGAGACATGCTTGCCCTGGATCAAAGAGGTGTAGTTGATAAAGAAATACGTGGGGTTGAGTGCGCATCCTGTCACATGGCGTACTTTGCTTGAATGATTTTTACGAGTTTGGGCAACTCCTCTGCCGGTTTCTATTTTCATGAAAATTATTAGTATTTTTTTTTTAGGGATGACCTAGATGAACGAGAACTGGCTGCGAATTGCTTCGAGTCGCTGTGGCAGCACTCTTCTCATGCCAATGTAAGACATGTCAAAGACACCACGACCTTGGGTCATGGAACGAAGCTTCAGAAGATAGCCCACCATTTCTCTCAAAGGTGTTTCGGCAACAATCACTTTCCGTTCTGTCAAATCCTGATGCGCCTGCTTCATCGTGTAGTCTGGCGGCAAGTAGATTTTCTCCGCCTCTTCCAAAGCCCAGTTTTGCTTATCCAAGCTTTCGCCCAGATCCTCAACAGCAAGTACAGTGGCCAGGCACCTGTTGTTCAAGTCATGCATCACGTCTCCCAACAGGGTCGAGTCGACATACACCTTGGTGTTCATGATGGGCTCCAACACACCAAAGTTGTTTTCGGACTTATCGTTGAGCTCCTTGACGGCTTTCGTCACCGAGCGACGTCCAACATCAAGAAGCGCTGATGAATGCGGTCCCTTGACATCAATAGGGAAGTTCCAGTTCTTGATCCGAAGCACGCAGGAGTGCAAGGGAAGTCCAAACCGTGGACCTGCCATTTGGAGTCCTGTGATGCAGCCTTGGATTAAGCTATCCTGGAGCTCCTGCAATGTGTGGTCAAGCTTCCATCTGCGCTCCTTTACAGCTTCAACCATGTACTGTGGCGTGGCACCAGGCTCCAAAATTAAAATATTGTTATCATGCTCGAGAAGAATTGCACCATCTTCGTCTGCAAAGTAGGATTCTGCAGCCTCTCCTTCGAATGAATCGAATTGAACCTTAGCGTTGATTTCTGCATTGTCAAAATGGTCACATGTGGCACTTGTACCGTCAGTGCGAGCGACGGTCTCCTTGTAGGACACAGCAACATCTCTCAACCTGACATTGGCTTTCATGTCATTAACCAACCGGTCTTTGATGATTTCAAGATGCAACTCACCCATACCACTGAGCACCGTTTGGCCCATGTCTTCATCCTCAGAAACATGCAATGAAGGATCTTCCCTCAAGAGCATTTTGATGCAGTCATTCATGTAGCGTGCATCGCCAGCAGTGGCTGGTTCAATGGACGAGTTGAAAAGTGGTGGTGGAATATCAATAGGGTGAAGCTTCAAATTGGCTTCAATTTCTGAAAAATGCTTTCCTTTCGTCACGCCATGTGAGACCAAGGTATCACCAGTGATGATATCGTCTTCGGTTCCAGCAACAACACCAATGTTACCAGCAGCAATGCGATTCACTTCTTCAGGAGTGTCACCGTGCATGAGCATGATTTTACGGAGGTTCAACTTTTTGCCTGTTCTAGTGTTCACCACCGTACTGTTCGAGGCAAGTTGACCACTGTAGACTCTAAAGAAAGTCATAACACCACGAGCAGGGTGGGTGATAACTTTAAATGCAAGCGCGACCGTCAAGTTGTTATTGTTGTTGATAATGAGACCTTTTGTGGGGTCCATCTTCAACGGAATGGCATCTGCCGTTTCTGAGCCTGTCTTCTTCTGAGCCTTCTTCTTTTTCTTTGTGATTTTACTGGATGATGATGTGACTTCGGGAAGCTCAATCTGCAACGGAGATGGCAAGTACCTCACCACACCATCCATCAAGGGTTGGACACCAATGTTCCTGAAGCTCAGACCGCAGAAAACTGGGGTAATGTTATTTTGAAGGGTCGCTTTGTTGATGGCCGTTTGCAAAACACTTGCTGGAATAGCCATGTAGTCTTCATCGTGCTCGAAAAAAGACTCAATGATACTATCATCGAATTCACCTAGCGTTTCCACCATTGACTCCATGCTACCAGCAACCATTTTGTAAAGCTCGCCCGTTGTGGCCTCATTGATGTCAACTGCGGTAATTTTGGTTCCGTCCAAATCGACATTGGAGTCCCAGAGAAGCAACTTTTTGTGAATCACATCAATCACACCTTTGAAGACTGGTTCAGAATCAACATTCTCAAAGTATGGCAAGTTGACGCAAACAACACGGGTCTGCAACTTCGAGACAATCTCCTTGACAGTTCGACTGAAGCCAGCACCGGGTCTATCCATCTTGTTAATGTAGGCAATGCGGGGGATGTTAAGAGCAGCTGCCTGGTGCCAGACCTTCTCAGTTTGAGCTTCGACACCAGCCACGGCATCCAAAATAGTGACAGCACCGTCCAATACTCGAAGAGAACGAGTGACCTCAAAAGTAAAGTCAGCGTGGCCCGGCGTATCAATAATATTGATCTTATGTGCGTTCCATGGAATCGAGATGGCTGCCAGCTGGATTGTGATACCTCTCTGTCTTTCCGAAGGCAAATAATCGGTGACCGTGTCACCTTCATCAACATTGCCAATTCTCAGCGTCTTACCACTGTAAAACAACATTCTTTCGGTCGTCGTCGTTTTGCCGGCATCGATGTGAGCAATGATGCCGATGTTTCTAGTTTTCACGGGCGGAACAGCATTGAGCTTGGGCTCTGCCCTCACGCAGGATGCATGTATCAGACGTGTGGCCCCTGCTAGCTGGCGAAACACGCCTTCTAGCGTTCGACCAGGCATTGAAGGAGAAGACTAGTCGAAGAGTGGTCACATGATCGGAGTTGGAATTGATTTGTGGAGGTGCGAGAGCTCACGTACTGCATTAACAGGGTCCATTTTGCAACCATTCAGACAAGCTGCAGTATTTAGTCTGATTTTTGCTTGTTTTGTGTTTTTGCTTTGATAGAGGCCACGGTGTAGTAAACGGTGGACAATACAATCAAAAGCGAGCCGAGCAAGCCCTGTGTCGAGAAAGACAGCCCGTATATATATGCACTGATGGCTAAACTGGCGAATTTCCTCGTAAGTAAAATCACAGCGACAGTCAATGACGACGCTACGCCAGCAAGACGGTTCACTCCCAGCGCACAGACGACCTGGGTCACGGCATTGAGCCCCAAAAAGGCCACACTGCGCGGCACTCCATAGTAGACCTCAGAGTTCCAGAGGACCTTGAGGTCAGCAACGAGGGCAGGGCTGAAAACCAAGAACATCGGCAAGGCCAAAAAGTGAGTGTAAAAAAGTGTTTCCTGCCAATGGGCGCCGTAGGTTTTGTACAACCCTTCCGTGTAGATGCCCATGTATGCACCTAGCAAAGACGCGAAGGTCAAGACCACTATACCGCATAGAAAGAGGTAATTGAAGGACACAGAACCGCCACCCAGCAGCCCCTGGGAAATCACAAGAAATGTCCCCAACGTCATCAAGATGCACAGCACCACCTGGTGTTTCAGGTACCTCTTATCGCCCACTATGTAGCCCACGATCATGGAACAAACGGTACTGCTTGATCTGAACACAATATGTAAAGGAACCGAGATGCCAAAGCGCCAAGCCAGGTTGTTTAGCACAGAAACAATAAAGTACAATGCCACGAGGAATAGAAGCTTCGGAAGCGGGATGTGTGTCTTTTTGAACGAAAACCCATCAAGTTGACTCGGAAGACTCACTATCAGAACCAAGATAAACTGGCATAGAGTCACCGTGGTTCCCAAATTGGGCGCTAGCAGGAAAAGCCGTTCATCACGTGTAAGCTCTTCAAACAGATACACATTGCAACAGCAGCCTCCGAAAACCTGGGTAAGCGGTAAAAACCAGCTCATGTGCTGTTGTTGATGTTGATACTTGACATCTGGGGTCGCACATGCGCGACCCGCCTGGTAGAATTGGGCTCTGGTCGGAAATGATAATATAAGTCGTTTATTTTTTTTTTTTTTTTTTCTTGAATGATTTTGCATCTACGGATACCTCCCTAATACCAAATTACTATGTACAAGGAGACTTCGTTACTCTTCGAAGTCAAACTGGGAAATGCCAGACTTGTCACACATCTGTCTGAAAAGCGAGCTGGTCGAGTTGAAAAGATTGGTTGGAGTGTCAAACTCGCTGATGGAACCCTGGTCCATGACCATGATACGGTCGTAGTTTAAAATCGTCTTAAGACGGTGCGCAATACAGAGAATGGTGCACCCGCTGAACTCTCTGGCGATGGCCTTTTGCAACTTGTTGTCGGTAGCGTAGTCAACACTCGAAGTGGCCTCGTCAAGAACAAGAATCTTGGTGTTTCTGACCAAAGCTCTTGCAAAAGCAACCAATTGCCTCTCACCGAGCGAGAAGTTCTCACCCTCGTCGTCAACTTCGCCATCTAGATGGAACTTGTTGATATCATCATCGCCAGGCTTCTGTGCCTTGACTTCTTCTAGAGTCTCAGCAGGAATGATATCGGCTCTTCTCAAAGTGTCCCACAACTCGTCGTCTGTTTTAGTTCCGAATGGGTCCAAATTCTTTCTGATGGTTCCTTTGAACAAAACAGGATCTTGTGGAATAATCGAAAGCCTAGATCTCAAGTCGTGCAATCCAAGCTTACTGATGTCAACACCATCTATCACAATGGAGCCTGCGCTCAACTCTGCAATTCTGAAAAGGGCAACCATAATGGAAGACTTACCAGCACCAGTTCTGCCACAAATACCAATCTTTTCGTGAGGCTTGATATCAGCGTTGAAATTCTTCAATGTGAGCGGCAAACCTTCTCTATAGGCGAACCCAACATTAATGAACTTGATCTCACCCTGAGCTGGCCATTCGGGAGCAGGCTTGGTCTCTGAAATCTCATAAGCTTTCTCCTGTGGAATCTTGTAGACGTACTCGATAACTCTCTCCGCCGAGTTCATATCCTGCTCGACTTGGGTGAACACAACAACCAACATGGAAACTGTAGACGAAATCTGGAGAACATAAGACAACAACAAACCGACCGAGGCAGCATTGATATCAAACACACGGAAAACACAGAGCATTGCAATTAAGAAGGCAAACAGCGAAGCCAACATGGACAAGTGAACATCAAGCCATCTCTGATTAGCCACTGTGATGTAGTAAGCCTCATTCATCCTATTGATGGTTTTCACATTCTTCTCCAAGAATCTTCCAATCAGCTTGAATGCCTTGATTGTGGGCATACCCGTCAAGGACTCGTTGAAGTTATTGTAGACGTGCGATCTCTGAATAGCTTCAAGTCTCTTCACCTCTCTACCTGAAGCCTGGTAGAATGTAGCCAAGATAATGAAGAAGCCGATGATGAAAGGCACTGCGATGGCAAACCAAGGCATGTAGATGATACACAAGATGATGATACCGACAATATCAGAAAGGAAGTAGACAACCATAGAAACACGGTCACCGATCTCGTTATCCAAGGTATCCGTATCTTTTGTGAATCTGTTGATCACTCTTCCCATAGGCGTGGTGTCCATGAAAGACATTGGCACATGAAGAATTCTTTCCAAAGCTTTAATATTCAAAATTCTCGAGGCTCTGTTTAAGATGTAAATCACACCACAGAACTGAGAGATCATGAACATCACAGCAAGTGCAGTGAACATGGCGTACAAGCCGATATAGTAACCGTCAGAGTAGTCCCACTTCATCTGGATCCAGAAGGACAACCAGTTATTGGTGAATAAAGTAAGGAACGTGGTGAAAACAGTGGCGCCAAAGACTAAATAGACTGGCCAATTAAGCTTGAACCCATCGACACCGGTCAAAATGTATCTTCCGTAAACGTCCCAACCGATTGCATTGATGGATCTTTCTTCCTCGCCAATCAATTTTCCGTCAGCTTCGGGAAGTCCGCTTTCCTTGGAATCGTCACTGATTTGAGTGGTGGTTTGTCTTGTGAGCTGCCTGTTGATGAGCTCCTTTTCATCGGGTGCTCCCTTCAAGTCCTCTTCTTCGTCATCGCTATCTTCATTTTTGCGGCTGTGTTCCATAAGTGTATTGAAAGCAGGGTTGGAACGCTTGAGCTCTTCGAATGATCCACGAGATATACTCCCATCACCATTCAAGAAGACAACTGACTCGGCCTCACTGATGAGCGAGAGCTGATGTGTGGCCAAAATTCTGGTTTTATTTTTCAAAAGACCCAAGATACATTCATTCATGATGTGCTTACCGACTTTAGCATCGACGGCACTCAAGACATCATCGAGAAGAATAATCGAGCTGTCTGCGTAAACAGTTCTTGCCAAACAAACACGAGCCTTTTGACCACCTGAAAGTGTAATACCACGCTCTCCAATTTCAGTACGGTCACCAGCAGGAAGTATATCAAAATCACTGTTCAAGGAGCAAGCCTCAACTACCTTATTGTACCAGGATTCATCGTAAGGCAAGCCAAACAAGATGTTCTCCCGCAACGTATTGTTTTGAATCCAGGGGACTCCGCACATCAAGAGGGATCCATTGAGAAGCAACTTTCCGGAGTTTTTCTTCATTGTACCATCAAGGGCATGTAGCAAGGAGGATTTACCAGAACCGATGGAACCAGTGATCACAACAAACTCGCCATCCTTCACATCAAGGTTAATGTTGTTGAGCTTGAAAGAAGAAACCTCACCAGTCTTCTCATCTACCTCGGGCGAAGGAGAGTTGGTCTTGGATGCCTTTTGAGCCTTCTTCTCTTCCTTTTTCTTTTTCTTCAACTCTTTCTTCTCCTTCTTCAACTCTTCGTTGTCTTTGGTCTGGTCCTCAGTCTTCTCCTCTTTGAGATCAAAGATTTCCCATTCAAAGTCACAGTCACGAACAGAAACAGCAAGCTTGTTTTCTTGCATGGCGGTTCTCTCATCATCAGTTATAAGGCGAACGGAGTCTTTGGGGTCAATTTCGTCGGCAGCCAAGACAGCAGCCACTCTATTCATACCGAGAAAGGCGTCGGTACTTCCGGCAATAGAAAGCGGGAGAACCACAAATTGGCCGGCCAACATGTTAAAAAGTGCAACGGACGAGAAAATATCAGCAGGATTTCTTGAGCTGGGGGAAGCAATTGCGTAAAGGGTGAGGAAAGAAGCCAAGGAACTGATCAAGGTCAACGACGAGGCCAAGGTAATGATAATCATTCTGGTGATCTCCATTCGAAGAAGGTACGCCATCTCTCTGCGTCTGATTTTCGAGATGAGGCTATAGTATGGTTTCTCCCAGGAATAAAATTTGATCATCTTCAAGTTGTTCAAGACCTCCTTCATGTAGCTGACTCTGGCGTCGGTAGACTTTTGAGCAGTCTTTCTAAAGCTGAAAAGCATGGCACCCAAGATACCTGCCACGAATAAGAATGCAATCATGAGACCCACACCGACCATGGCGGGAGCCTTGATATTATAAATAAGAATGCCGATGGAAATACCCACGGGGAACACAAACACAAAGCCATAGATGGAGAAGCCTGTACCCAAGTCAACACGAGAGACGTCAGTACTCATGATGGCAGTGATCTTGGAAGCAGGGAACTGCTTTCTTGACTTTGCATTGAGTTTGAAGGACTTGTCTAACAAAAGTTTTGTAAACACGGCCCTGATTTGGGCACCCGTGATCATGGAGAGGTAAACACCCTGGTTGATGAGGACGTCACCTGTGAAAATCAAAATGGCAACACCGATGGCGTAGCCGACACCGGTGCCCATGTTCAAATTGAAACCGTAGGCCTTCTCCAGAACGAAATTGATCAACTTCCTGGACAAAAGCGGAATACACGTGGAGCATGACAAGCCTAGCGTAGCAAACACCAACGCCAAGGAGTATTGGCGAGCAAACGTCTCGTAAAGGGTGAGGAAGCAGAGCGACTTGGACAACTCGTAGTCGGCCATGTCGTCAACGGATTCAACAGAGGACGTTTCCAACGTCTCTCCTCTGGCCTTAGCCTTCTCTTTCAAGTGTCTTTCCTTGTCTTGAGCCAACCGGCGGTCAAAGATCCTCTGGAACTTCTCGGCTAGATGCTCAGCGGTAATGCCTTCATGAAGCTTAAACATATCCTCCGGAAGCAACGTCCGCTTGTACCCCACAAGCAAAACCGGGGTCAACCAGGTGAAGAAGAGGAAGCTGAATGGGTTTCGCCACTTGGGGTGGTACGGTCTGTCTTCATCGCGAGGGACTGGCGGGACCTTCTTCAGGAGGAGGGGAGTTAGGAGTCGATGCTGGAGCTCGGGCTCGCTGCCTTTCTCCAATTCGACCATTTAGTAGGGGGATATGGCGAAACAGAAGGTGCGAGGTGAGCTGCTTTTATGCTGCGAGGTCTGATAAGATGCGATGCACAGAAGCACTGGCGGAACGGCTTCATGCAGCAACACAATCGGGAGAACATGAGCGACAGTAGTGGCACGAGCAGGGTCTCTAAATGGGTGGCAAATACATTTTTGGAACGGTTTTCATTAGCCGAATCGATGCAGGGTAGGATGAAAATTACCAAAGTATTTTGGTGGATTCTGGGGTACACGGCTGCGAAAGAGAGTGCATCTGTTGTGGCTGTTTCTGCAATCTCTGAAAAATAATGACAGACGGCGCAGTAGGACCCTGATGCCTGCAACACGTAGGGAATGTTTCCAGTCACGTAGGGAACGTTTTCAGCTAGGGGCCAGTAGTTAACCCGGAACGGATCAATACACTTTATCCGTCCGGCTTCCGTCGCCGTCCGCACCTCCGCGATATAAGAAAATTGCACACTAAGAAAAGCCACTCCACCGGCCTAAACGAGCCACCCTGCATGATCTGGCTGAAGGCGTCAGTGGGTCCTTTGGCTGCCATAACTCACTATGGCTCATTTTAGTGAATCCTGCGCCGGAAAGAATAGGAGGCGAACAATGTAATTTTGTGAATCGGGGGCAATATGCCAGAGGTGGTATGCCAGGGCCGATATGCCCAAATCGGACGCTCCAAGCCTTCTGTTTTCCATCATCTGGAGCACAATGGAACCTTGTAGTGACAATCGAAAACCCCCGATTGGCCAGGAACCAGGTGGCGGGGTCACTCTTGGGCTGGAATACGCGTTGTTTCCATCTTGTGGCGAATGGAAACATGGTCATGTCGAAGGCAAGACGCGTCATGGCCAAGGCAGCCTTTCCTGGTTCAGTAACTCATTGAACGCCATCGTGGTGCCGTGTGTTTTTCGACAAGCCCAAATAGGATGTTTCTTCAGGGACATATCGTCGCATGCACGGTGCCTAAGACGGCTAAGACATGAAGGCGGAGCAGCTTTCAAGAAGTGTTGCTCCATGTTCTGGGACTTCTTTGATGCTTGGAGAAGGCGTCATGGCTGTATCAGAAAATGCATGCTTGTCCGGAATTCTCAATCTTCGTTTTTGCCCAATGCTACAATGTGTGGCAAGACCGTGGGGCGGATGTGTGAAAACGCTGTAGCGCAAAATTCTGGTCTAGTTGAAGCAGCAGGGCTAAAAAACTTAGAACGGAAAAGTCCCCATGCTGAGGTCATGGTCGCGCCCCACATCGGACTTTTGCTCGCTTCCGAGAATTGCTACAAGATTGCGATTGCTGCAAATGAAAAATTGATTTAGTTGTTATTGAAAATCGTGGGGTCTCCAAGAATTTTGCCATCACGGCGTCAACGTCGGTGGTGACGCTTTGTGTTCCTTGAACAATGGCTCGTAATTTGCCCATGGCTCAACACCGTGAGGCTTGGTATTGCCACGGAGAGTCAGCCACCCGTTATCCGCAAAAAGGCTATCTGGGTGGTTTTTTATTATCCGGGATCCGTAAGTGGCTCGTTTGACAGGGAATTGACGGTAGATCCAGGGCAGGTCCATTTGGTAGGAATTTGGTGAATTGTGAGAAAGTTGTATGGGATGCCTACGACGGCCATTGCGGAGTGGCATTTTTTATTAGCTGCTTGCTGGTCACAAGAAAAGTCTTAATTTTGTTTCCATCAATGTGAAGTGGTTGGTTTCTGGACTGAGTTTGCAGCCGTGGTGATCGAGTTACATAAGGTGCTGCGACCTCAGAACCAGGCTACATTGATATCAGTACGGAAAAGGCGAAGCTCTTTTGGCTATCTGATCTGTCAGCGAAGAACGTTTTTTCAAAACACCAGCATAACATATTCCGATGAAATTGGATTTTACACCAACCTTCATCCGCACGCCGAGGAAGAGTGTACTCGATCTCATTTCTGGGACCTACACGGCCTTCATAATTGACTGACCGAGTGATATAAATTTTTTCTGTGAGTTTAATGTCATGAGAGCTTGGCTGTTGTTCACCCTATCCCTCCAGCCTTTGCCAAAAGTGCCAGCTATTATTGTTTTCGTGATGATTTCCACACTCTACCTGTCGCTGCCGGGTACAGCTGCAATGCTCCAATCAAGCTTCCTTCAATTTGTTTTCAAATCATACCATGCCAACTAGCAAAATTAGAATTGAGTCACATTGCTTAGGCTTTTGGTTCATCGAATATTTATGAAATCACGAAACTGGCTATAAAATCGTTCCCAGTGCTCCCTCCTGGCTCAAATTTGGCCAGGGTATACCTCCCATACACCGCCTACTAATGAAACACTCAAAATTTCCAAACTTCACGTTTTGGCGCAAGCACTACCCTTAGACAACATAGTGTACCCGCGCTTTATTCAAGCCTACAAGTCCGATATAGTGTAACGGCTATCACGGTTCGCTTTCACCGAGCAGACCGGGGTTCGACTCCCCGTATCGGAGCTTCTTTTTTTGCCGGGTGGTCTTCACAGCGTTCCCAAGATTTCTCAGATCCTACGGCGGAGAGAATTCCGCTGGTGCATGGTTCTGGTGCATGGTTCGATGGAAGTTAGCAGTACACCATCCGCTAGCGATGGCACCGATACACTCCTACCGGTGTACCGCCGTACAGGGCTGAATCAACCAGCCTAGCACCACAACCATTCGATTGAATTTCCGTGTCGATCAAAATTAATAAGACTGCCTCGATTGGCTTTTAGTCCCCGATCACCCCGCAATCGCTTAATCCTTTTTTCACCCAATGCCGCTGGCTCCACACGCTGCTAAGGCAATTTGCAACCCAGGCCAGAACCGAGTCGCCCGCAATCACATTAGCAAAACGGTGCACCTAACTCGCCTGCGGGTATCGGCGGCATCTCGGATTTTCCACCCCGCGGGGCACCTTTCCACCGCAGGACAAGCTTCGGTTTCGCAACCTTAACTCTATCCTCCGGTCATGTCCCCCAGCGCCTGTCAGTCCACAATTCCGGTCCGCCTGGTTGCTAATTTGTCCGAAAAGGGAAATATCAATTGATCAAGGAAAGAGGAAGAAAAAGAATAATAAAAAAAAGGAAGATGAAGAAGAACTAGCCTGAGAATGGATTCGGCTGCAAACGCTCTGCCCCAAGACCCCATCATCTGGGGTCCCCCACCGGCTCCCCGTGGAAACGGCGACGGCTGCCACGCGACCGTGTGGTTCCAAGAAACCCGGCAGAACAAGCCGGCGGAATACGATATCGCACGCTGAGCCTGCCCAAGCCTCTGTTACAATGCTGCCTCTGGATGTTCCAGCGCCACAGCGACGCCAGCGGACGGCCGCCTTTTGCCAAATCGAGCGATTATCAAGATATTCATTTTTGTGCCTTTTATTTTTCTTCTTAGCCCTCGCTGCGTGGGTCCGCCTTCCTCCTATCTCACTGGAGCGTTGACCTTTTTTCCCTATCAGCGCTATCTCTTTCGCACCCAATGAGGTCTTCTGCGGCGCCGTGCCAAGACCACGGACCCATCCGAAAAAAAAAAAGTCCACAGCGCCCAGCAATCCAGACGAAGAAAATACTGTCAGAAAAACGTCAAAACGGCCGCCAAGGCGAAAGTGACAGCTTGAGAAATAACCACGCTCAGGCACCAGATCTAAATTTGGGCCTTTCCCACCGCACGGCAGAATCAGGCACCGTGCCGTATGGGGCCTAAGTACGGCGCTTTTGGACCCTTCACACAAGATGGCCAGACGGCTGCGAGTGCAAGAAATCCCCATCGCTGCGATGCACTGGATGCAGCGGATGCATCGGTCGCACCAATTCCGGAGGCCCCAATAGCCAGACTTCGAGGAATAAGGAAAAAATTTTTGCAAGAAATTACAAAGAAAAAAAAAAAGCTTCAATCAAAACTGGAGCGCTGAATGGCTTTCCGCCGCCTCCCCATTGTCTGGCCGCCTCTGGACCTGGTGGCTGCAAACGCCGCATCCGCACAGTAGGCGTTTTGTCCTCTAGGTTTGCAACCAGGAGACTAATTCCCCAGTGCCGTTCTCGATAACGCTCTCCGCATGAAAAACTGCCCTCGCCCACTTATCGTGCATCTCCGCTCCATCGTATAAATACGCTTTCCCACCTCCACAAAATCGCTCCCCTGTGCCTCGCTATGTCTGATAAAATCGAAAAACACGACGACAAGCTCGTTGACGAGAAGTTCATCACTGCCGATGAAAAGTCTCTTGATCGGTCCCAGGACCTCGAGTCCGTGCCTCCCACTGAGGAAGGCGCTGAACCCACCGAGGAGGAAATGAAGACCCTCCGCAGAGTCTCCAGAAAGATCCCGCTCTCCTGTTGGCTTGTGGCCATTGTCGAATTGTCGGAGCGTTTCTCCTACTACGGTTTGTCGACGCCGTTCCAGAACTACATGCAAAATACCCCAGAGGACCATCCTCGTGGTGTGCTTGGTTTGAACCAGTCCGGTGCCACTGCCTTGTCGTACTTTTGGCAGTTTTGGTGTTACGTGACGCCTATCTTTGGTGCCTGGATCGCCGACACTTTCCTCGGAAAGTACCTTACCATCTGCGTTTTCTGTGTGGTCATGATGATTGGTATTTTCATCTTGTTCATCACCTCGCTTCCCTCCATCGCTTCCAAGGATACGTCTTTGGCCGGCTTTATTGTCGCCATCATTGTCATTGGTATCGGTACCGGAGGTGTCAAGTCCAACGTCTCTCCTTTGATTGCCGACCAGGTGCCCAAGTCCAAGCCCTCCATTAAGGTTTTGAAGACCGGCGAAAGAGTCATTGAGGACCCCAACATCACCATCCAGAACGTCTTCATGTTCTTCTACCTCATGATCAACGTCGGCTCTCTTTCCGTTATCGCCACCACCGAGTTGGAGCACAATGTCGATTTCTGGGCTGCCTTCCTTTTGCCGCTCTGCTTCTTCACCATCGCTATAGCCGCTCTTGTCTTGGGTAAGAACAACTACGTCAAGGTGCCTG